TTTGGGAGTCCATTCCACATAGTGGGATATTCTCTCAGCCTAGACACAATGAGGAGGGCCTAGGTCCTGCTCCAAATGATATGGTAGACTTTGAAGAGCCCCCATGGAAGGCCTCACCCTCTCTAGGGAACAGAAAGGGGATGGAATAGGGGGTTGGTGAGGGGCAGGGAAGGGAACTGGGATTGACAGGTAAAACAAGCTTGTTTCTAATTTAAATTTTTTTTAAAAAGGGAAAAAATAATTTGAGGAGGCTGAAGAGATGAGATGGCTCAGCAGTTAAAGATACTGGCTGCTCTTCAAAAGGTCCTGAGTTCAATTCCCAGCAACCACAACCATCTATAATGAAATCTGGTGCCCTCTTCTGGCCTGCAGGCATACATGCAGGCAGAACACTGCATACTTGAAAGAGAGAGAGAGAGAGAGAGAGAGAGAGAGAGAGAGAGAGAGAGAGAGAGAGAGAGAGAGAGAGAGAGAGAGAGAGTTGAAGAAGCCTACAATCCCAGCAAAAGGATAAGACTTCTAAGGTAATGTTCAACTATATAAGGAGTTGATGTCTAACCTGAGGCACATACATCCCTGCAAAACATAAACAGCTGGGCCTAGTAGCACACTTTAATCTCAGCACACAGGAGGCAGAGACAGGTAATCTCTTGAGTTCAAGGCCAGACTGCTCAATAAAGTGAGTTCTGGGACATCCATGGTTGTTACAGAAAAAGTTACATGCAAGCATGGGTGCACACTCACACTTTAGCCTCAGCAATCAGGTAGATCTCTCTTTGAGTTTAGGGCCAGCATTAGTCTACACAGTAAGTTTCAGGACAGCCAGGGCTATGTAGAGACCATGTCTTTAAGAAGGAAAAAAAAAATCTGGAGAAGGGAAACAAAACTCTTCACCACCAATAAATACCTCAGGTTTTTTGAGGCAGTTTCATGTGGCTCAGGGTGACCTTGAACTCCTAATTTTGAATGCAGTAGCCCCCCCCCACCCATAACAGTCACACTCTTGACACCTTTAATGCTTTTTATGAGGTTTTTCTTTTCATCCTTAGCATAACCCAAGAGTATCTTCCTTATCACAAAGGAGCTAAAGCCGAGAGAGATGAAGAATGTAACCAGATAACAAGCCTGGCGTTCAATTCTAAACCCAGAACACCAAATCCTAACTTCTCCACAGTCCTGTCCTCCCACCCCAATAGGTGGCCTCCATATCCACAGGTCCCACATTCTGAGGTTGGGGGGGGAAGGTATCGTGTAAATCTCACACATGTATACCCAGCACTGAGGCCAGCTTTAACAGAAGATAAAAATGCTGCATGAACATGGAGACTGTTCACTAGGTACTCAATGCCAATACCCCCATACATCGAATATACCTATTAGGCATTGTAAACAATCTGGAGATGAAGGGCCTACCTTACACGCAAATGTGACACTACTATAAATGGGACTTAAGAACCTAAGACTTTTGCTATTTTCCTGGGTCCTGAACTGATCCCCTATAGGTACCAAGAGGCTACACTGCACTAGTGCTTTCTATCTGAGGTTAACAATTTAATAGGAGGCTGTAGAAGAAGCTTTCAGTATTATGGTCAAACATAATCAAATATTTCAGTACAGAAAACCATTCCAATTTTAATACACAGGTATCAAGAGCAAACATTTTATGAGATTTTTGTGTTTTTTGGTTTTTACGAGACAGGGTTTCTCTGTATAGTCACAAACATTTCTTACTATAGGATATGATAAAACCTACCGGCCAAGCCGGGCATTGGTGGCGCACGCCTTTAATCCCAGCACTCGGGAGGCAGAGAGGCAGGCAGATCTCTGTGAGTTCGAGGCCAGCCTGGTCTACAGAGCTAGTTCCAGGACAGCCCCCAAAGCTACACAGGGAAACCCTGTCTTGAAAAACCAAAAAAACAAAAACAAAAACAAACAAACAAACAAAAAAACCCTAACGGCCAGGCAGTGGTGGTGTGTGCCTTTATCTCTCTGCCAGTTCAAGGCCAGCCTGGCTAGACCTATGTTCCAGGATAGCTAGGGATGTTACTCAGAGAAACCCTGTCTTGAAAAAAGTAAAATAAAATCTACTGGGAATAGTTTCCTACTTTGTTATACCCCAACAAGTAAGTTAAACTGATATATTTTGAGCCACCTTTTACTCTTACTTCCTGCTCTTCAAGAACCTTTCCAATAGCTAGGCAAGCAGAGGCAGGCAGATCTCTTTGAGTTCAAGGCCAGACTGCTTTACCGAGTCCCAGGACAACCAGAGATGTTATACAGAAACCTTGTCTCAAACCACCCTCACCCACGCACAAAAACAAAACAAAACAAAAAACCTCTTCTATTCATAAAATGCTCTGTGATATGTCAACCACTGTTCTAAAGCTGGACATATTCAAACGTTCTCAAAATGGATCTGTCAATTAGCATATAAAAACTAGTCATTTTATTTATTAGCTGACTATCTAAAAGCCAAAACTCTCAGAAACTGTCTTTATATGAACTTTTCAAAAATTATTATATAGCCAGGCATAGTGATGCAAACCTTTAAACTCAGCACTCAGGAGGCATTGGCAGAGGGAGCTCTTGGGTTCAAGGCCAATCTGGTCTACACAGTGAGGTCCAAGACAGCCAGAGATACACAGTGGAGACCCTGTCTCATTTTTGGTTGTGAGCCTAGCCTTTAATGGCTGAGTCATCCTCCAGCCCAAGACCCTGTCTCAAACAAAACAAAACAACAACAAAATCTCAAAATAGTAATAATAATTGCATTCATTGGAGGGGGTGTACAGTGCTATGGCTCCCATGTGTGGAGGTCAGAGGACAGCTTATTCTCTCTCCTACCATGTGAATCCCAGGAATCAAATTCAGGTAGTCAGACTTAGTAGCAAGTGTTTTAGCCAGCTATGACATCTCACTGGCGTCTTTAGATGAACTTTAAACGTTAGCAAGCAAAGCTTGGGGGCCTACTGTACCTCACAAGAGATTACTTGGAAGGACAAGACCAGTGTATTTCTTGCCTTTTGCAGATGGCAAGCCTCAACTCAAAAGTTCAATTTAGCTGAGCTGTGGTGGCACACACCTTTAATCCCAGCGCTTGGGAGACAGAGGCAGGCAGATCTCTGTGATCTTTGAGTTCACAGCCAATGTGGTCTACTGAGTGAGTTCCAGGACAGCCAGGGCCACATATAGAAATCATCTCAAGGGGGCTAGAGAGATGGTTCAGAGGTTAAGAGCACTAGCTGCTCTTCCAGAGGTCCTGAGTTCAATTCCCAGCAACCACATGGTGGCTCACAACCATCTATAATGAGTGCCCTCTTCAGACCTGCAGGCACACATTCAGGCCGAGCACTGTATACATAATAAATAAATTTAAAAAAAAAGGAAAACATGACCCACACTACATTGAAGTATAACTTCAAAGAACTTAAGACATATAAAAGTGCCTTACAAACATTCTTCAATGAACCAGTAAGTATAGGCTTTCTTTTTCAACATTTATACTGCAACTAAAGTGAAATTGGATTTAAAATTCTGAAGAGAGTTGCAGAGTGAAGTTAAACTACAAGCAGAAATCAGAAGAAAGTCTCCTCCCATCAGCTGGAAAAAAACTTTACATAAAGAGGGAAATTAACGTTCGTGCACTATCAAAATAAATGTCCCACTGAAGTCACCAGCGGCAAATGCCGTTTAATCCTAGAAATTTTGTGTAAATACATAGTTTGCACAACGATTCTTTCCCCAATGGTTATAAAAATCAATCCTGACTTTGGGGCATCAAGACTGTTAACCGGTAGAACTCTATGTAAATGCTAAATAAGTTGACTGTCTCTATGACATTTTGGGTTTGACAGTTCACTGGACCCTACCGGATGATTCTATGCAAGCCGTCTTCCACCTTTAATTATCAAAGTCTAGAGAACATGAACATTTTACTCAACATACACGACAAACAATCGACGTTTAGAGGTCAAAGGGGACCCGTTTTCACCCTTCCCTCAACACGTGTCCAGCACAAACTTCCGGGTGAGGCTACAATTGGCTGCGCAATTCAATGGATTAAAACGATGCTTTCTTAGACTCTCATTTTATCTCCAAGCTTCCCCACTCATGCACGTTTCTCAACCAGCAACTCACCCAAACAAAAGCAGCCCACAGTAAACGGAGCAATCACATAAAATGAGCTTTCTATATGTGTGCATCAAGTTAGTGGTCCGAAAACATTAACCAAACTGAAGCACAAAGCCGGGATAGAAAGGGGAGGAGCTGGATGCCGGGGTCAGTAAAGCAACAATCACACGGGTTCGGACAAATCCAAGGCTTCGAAGCGGTGGAGCCCATCCCACGCCACTCCCGGGAAAACACCAGCAGACACCGCTTTGAGGAACTTGGGTGCTCACTACATCCAACACTGCTAAGGTGAGAAGATGCCCAACCGCCATCGCCCTCTTCATGGACTGAGCTTAAGAGTCTGAAGCTGCACTCACTCACTTGAGGGAAAGCTAAACACGCCACGACGAGGCGTGAGGGTGTCCCCCACGTGTCCCACGCACCCCACTCGCCAGGAACCGAGGTTCAGGAAGGGTGTCCAGGGGCCTCCCTCCCGCTCCGGAATCGGGAGCAATACGTCGGAGGGACCCGAGCAGGGTCTCCGCCTAACTTTCGCCGCCCGTCTCGGGTCTGTGAGAAGGAAGGAGGCGAAGCCGACGATCCCCCATGGAGCCGGCGTGCGCAGGGCTGGGCTGCCGGCCTCGGGGCTGCTTATCCGGCTCGGGACAGCGGGACTCCCACAGAGCCGGCGCTACCTGGCGGAGGACGCCGGAACCAACGGGACGGCGGGCGATTTGAGAACAGGCAGCGGGCGAGCGAGGCCCAGACAGCCGTGAAGTGGCCGCCTCCCCCCACAACCGGCCCCACACGGACCCCGAGGAGCGCTGGTGGGAGTGGGAGGCTGTTTGGACGGACGAGCGTAGAAGAAAAGAGATGAGGGAAGGACTTACTTTCCCCGGCGGACCCGACGCCAGAACAGCTTCTCCCGGTCGGTGAGCGCGTGAGGAGCCGGAGGCAACAGGAGCCGAGGCGGCGGCGGCGGCGGCGGCGGCGGCGGCGGCGGCGGCGGCGGCAGAAGCAGCGTCCGGCTCTGCCTACCTCCCCGCCGCCATCTTGACGCCCCTCCTCCCGACCCCCCGCCCCGCAGGAAGAGGGGGCGGGGCTACGGGTCAGGTGCCGCGCGCACGCAGCGCGCGCCACGCCCCACGTGACTTCCCCACCCCGCCCCACCCCCCTCATCTCTTCTCCGCCCCGCCTCCTTCCTAGGTGAAGGAAGCTGATTCCCCCCCCCATCTTGACCGCCCCCTCTGCCTTCGCCACCAAAACTGGACTCCGCCAAGTCCCGCTACCCTGGTACCAGTGATGGGATCCAAGAGAATTCCGGAACCCAAACGGTCCATTACCGCGGCTCCGGGGTGGGCGAAGGGTGAGGGGGCCGGGTTTCTGAGAAGGGGGAGGGGGCAAGCGAAGGCGGCCTAGGACAGTCACGTGTCCGATGCTTCCGCCGCCGCTAGCTGAGACATCGCGAGAATACCGTTTCCCCCACCCGTTCTGTTACGCGGGCTGTCGGGAAGAAGGTCGCTTTCTCCTGGGTGCCACCAGGAGGTCAGCCTGTGTGTCTGCGCGCATGCGCTCCACACCTACAGTCATAGTCGGGCTAGTAGGGCCCCACAGCTAATTTCAGAATCTTGGCATTGGATAGTTAAGATCAGAGCCCTTGCAAGGTTTCTGTCACTTAACGGACGAGCTCTTCATTGAGCATACTAGAAAAAATACTAACGTAGTCATTGCTTTGAAGCTCGCTTGAGCTGTATTGAACTTCATTGACTCGAAAACCGCAGTAAGCCCCTGGGCTCGTCCATGGTCATTATCTCATATAGAACAGAGCCTGACGGTCTCGATTCTAGACTCTTCACACATGCCCAGACACCTGCATCCACCATTGCTCTCCATTAACGATTGCTGCATACCAGGGCGTCCCCTGTAGCTCTTCCCTTGTTTTGTTTTGTTTTTTGTTTTGTTTTGGTTTTTGGAGACAGTGTTTCTCTGTATTTTGGAGGCTGTCCTGGAACATGCTCTGTAGACCAAGCTGGCCTCGAACTCACAGAGATCCGCCTGCGTCTGGCTCCGGAGTGCTGGGATTAAAGGCGTGCGCCACCAACACCCGGCTAGCTGTTCCCTTGTTAAATTTCATTTATTTTTTTTTAATTTTCATTACTCTTAAATGGCCTAATACACTAACACATTAACTTCTTGGCCACCCTTTTTTAAAGTCTGAGAATGTGGCTTGACACTGTTACTTAGGTGACAGGCACGCCTGGACGATCCTTACCCCTACTTGTCGCTTAGCATCTTGTTTGCCCTGTGCTGAAAACAAACGGTGCACTCTTGTTTTGACAAATGAGGTTAAAGTGTGTAAACTCAGCCAGGCAGTGATGTTGCATGCCTTTAATCCCAGAACTTGGGAAGCAGAGGAAAGCTGATTTCTGATTTCAAGACCATCCTGGTCTACAAAGTTCTAGCATAGGCTACAGAGAGAAAAATGTGTGAGCGCTTGGGCATTTGCTTTTCTTTTACTATGATAAAACAATCACCAAGACCGACTAGGAGAAAAAAGGGTTTATTTCATCTTACATTTTCCAGTCCACCATCTAGGTAGGCCAAGGCAGTTTCTGGAAGCAAAAACTGAAGCCTAGGTTATACAGGAGTTCAGCTGCTTACTGGCTTTATTCTACAGCCCAGACCCACAGTGGGCTGGGCTCTCCTACACCAATTAAGAAAATGCCCCACAGGGTTTCTTACAGCCACTGCTGGGGCAGTTCCTCAACTGAGACTGTCCTTTTGCTAAGTATGTCTGGGTTTAGTCAAGTTAGCAAAAATCGACAGTGGGGAAAGTACATACAACAATAATATTGATTCTGACTTTGTATGCATACATTTGTATTATATCAGTGTTTTTTTGTTTTGTTTGGTTTTTGGGGTTTTTTTTGTTTTGGGTTTTTTTGTTTGTTTGTTTGCTTGCTTGCTTTTTGTTTTTGTTTTTTGTTTTTTTTGAGACAGGGTTTCTCTGTGGCTTTGGAGGCTAGAACTCGCTCTGTAGACCAGGCTGGCCTGGAACTCACAGAGATCCTCCTGCCTCTGGCTCCGGAGTGCTGGGATTAAAGGCGTGCGCCACCAACGCCCGGCTGGTTTTTGGTTTTTTGAGACAGGGCTTCACAGTGTAGCCCTGGCTGGCTTGGAACTTGTTCTGTAGACCAGGCTGGCCTCAAACTCATAGATTCACCTGCATCTCATCCCGAGTGCTGGGATTAAAGGCATGCGCCACCACTGCAGGCCCCTATATTTGTGTTCTTACCTATAAGAACTGAAGAATTCTAAGGCCAGATATGGCTGCAAAAGCCAGCACTCAGACAACTAAACCTAAGTCCTCTAAAAGAGTAACAAGTGCTCTTAACCACTACAATCCTATAGCCCCTCAACTTTTTTGGTTTTGTTTTGTTTTGTTTTTCGAGACAGGGTTTCTCTGTATTGTTTTGGAAGCTGTCCTGGAACTTGCTCTGTAGACCAGGCTGGCCTCGAACTCACAGACATCCTCCTGCCTCTGCCTCACAAGTGCGCCACCACCGACCAGCTACAAGTCATTATTTTTAATTATGTTTACTGAGGGAGACTAATGTGCACAGAGTGTAGGTGCCTTCAGAGGCATCAGAACTTCAGGAGCTGAAGTAGCAAGTCACTGTGAGATGTCTGACATGGTGGTGACTAGAAATTGAACTCAAGTCCTCCGGGAAAGCCATGTATGCTTCTAACCACTGAGCCATTATCTCCAATCCCCCTCTAAGTATGACAGGTTAACTTTGTTTTTGTTTGTTTGTTTTTTAATATTTAATATCATGGGGTTTTTTAGATTTATTATGTTAACAGTGTTCTGCCTGCAGGACAGAAGAGGGTGCCAGGTCTCATTACAGTCGGTTGTGAGCCACCATGTGGTTGGTGGAAATTGAACTCAGGACCTCTGGAAGAGCAGCCAGTGCCCTTAACCGCTGAGCCATCTCTCCAGCCCCGACAAGTTAACTTTGAAGTCACTCTGTATCCTAGGCTGGCCTTAAACTTGCAACTATCCTGCCCCAGTCTGCCAAGTCATTCTCCTTTTTATTTGAAGACAAGATTTCAGTAACTTGCCCTTGCTGGCATTGAACTCAAGTTCAGACAGGCCTTGAACTTGCAATCTTCTTCCTCCATTAAGCTAAGTAGCTGTAATGACAGGCTTACACCAACCAAACCTGGCTCTGTACTTCTGTACATTTTGTTTTGTTTTGGGCTTTTCAAAACAGGGTTTCACCAGGCGTTGGTGGTGCATGCCTTTAATCCCAGCACTCCGGAGCCAGACGCAGGCAGATCTCTGTGAGTTCGAGGCCAGCCTGGTCTACAGAGCGAGTTCCAGGACAGCCTCCAAAGCCACAGAGAAACCCTGTCTCAAAAAAAAAAAAGAAAGAAAAGAAGGAAAAACAGGGATTCTAGTCCTGGCTGTCCTGGAACTCATAGAGATCTGTTTGCTTCTGCTTCCCAAATGCTGGGATTAAGGCCACATGTGCCACCATGCCTGCCCTGGCTCTGTGTTCCTTCAGGTCAGCTTCTTAGCTTGTGTACAAATGAGAACACATGGTAGTAATCGTTGTGTGCCTCGTTTGTTTCACTTCCAGTAAAGCTTTCCAGTTTGTCTCATGTTGCTTCAAATGACACAAGTGTAACCCTTTTATGACTGAATAGTATTCCTTTTGTTTTGTTTTTTACATAGTGACTAAAATGGCCTAGGCTGGTTTCAAACTCTCCTTGTATCCATGGGTGACCCTGAACACTTGATCCAACTGCCTCCACCTCCCAAGTGGCAGAGATAGCAGGTATGTACTCCTTCACTTGGTTATATCATGTTTTCATTGTCCATTCATCCGCTGATGAACCCCTAACTTAATTCCACATCTTGATTTAGTTAACAGTACCATAGTAAGCATCCCAGTGCAGATGTCTCTTCAAAAGACTTCAGTTCCTTTGTCTAGATCCCTGGCCATGGACTTGCTAGGTCTTAAGATTGTACTGTTCCTACTCCTTTGAGGTACCTCTATACTTATGTAGTCTCACATAATGTCTATATGGATTTATATTCCCATCAACAGTGTATGAAGGATGTAGGTTAGATTAACTGTGGTGGAAAACCTGCATTAAAAATGGGCTTCACAGCCGAGCGGTGGTGGCGCTTGTCTTTAATCCCAGCACTCGGGAGGCAGAGGCAGGCGAATCTGTGTGAGTTCCCAATCAGCCTGGTCTACTAGAGCGAGTTCCAGGACTCCAAAGCCACAGAGAAACCCTGTCTCAAAAAAAAAAAAAAACAAAGCCTTCACCATTCCATTGGCTGATGTCCTGGATCATGTTGAAGAGAAAGAGCTACTATGCAAAAGCACTCAGTTCCTGCGACCTGACTGTGCGTGCAGTGTGACTAGCCCATAAGCCTCCTGCTCCTGCTCCCATGCCTGCCCTACTGTGATGAACTACATCTCTTCCAACTGTGAGCAACAGTCAACCCTTTCCCCAAACTGGCTTCTTGTTGAGTATTTTGTCACAGCAATGAGAAAAGTGACCAAAACAAGTCCCTTCCCCTGTACCCTTGCCAGCATTGTTATTGAGTGTTTTTCGTTGTTTGGTTTTTTTTGTTTGCTTGGCTTTGTTTTTGACACAGGGTTTCTCTGGGTATCCCTGGCTGTCCTGGAACTCATATAGACCAGGCCAGCCTCATACTCACAGAGATCCACCTGCTTCTATGCATGGCTGTAATTATTTTGTTTTTGGGTTTTTTTTCTATAATAGTCTTTCAGACTGAGGTGAGATGACATTTGTACTTTGAATTTGTATTCCCCTTGCAATGTGATTGAGCATTTTTTTCACATATCTGTTGGCCTTGAACTTGAAGAAATCCACCTTCTATCTCCCTTCCCCAGTGGTGGGATTAGAGGTCTGGCTACCACCTCACAGATCATTTTTTAAAGGAACATCTATTCAGAGCAGGAGTGGTGGCACAGGCCTTGAGAAGTAGAGGCAGGCAGATCTGTGAGTTCGAGACCAGCCTGGTCTACAGAGTGAGT